CCCCCCCCCCCCAAAAAAAAAAAAACAACAACCCAAAAAACCCACCAACAACATTTGGGTAGCCTGGAACGTTTCAGGTTGAAATGGACATGTTTTGTTTCAGGCAGTCATAACAATAGTGAAAAATGATTACTGGTGGGGGTGTTGTCATCCTTTCCCCTTTTACCAAACAGCACAGAACCCTTACACACGCGATGGGAGCCAGATCTGATTCTCTTGTCTGTCTGAGAGGATCTGAACCCACAATTCCCTTCTCCCAAGGGACTGCTGGTGCTATAGGCTATTCGGGGTGGAAGTACTCTCCAACCCTCCAGTCCACACTGTTCTACTCTGCATGAAAAACTGCCTACTCCGGTGCTGGGACTGGCATCCAGGTGTCCCACTTGCTATGCTATATTGTACATTAGGTGGGCTCCCTTCATTCCTGTAAGTGGGAGGTCACTCCTACAGAAGAATTAAGTATTCACTGAGACACTGAAATGGCTAAAACATGCACCTGAGAGATTGACCGGTGTGGTTCCATCTCTTGTTCCAGTGAATGTTTAATTATTTGAACAAGAGGGACTGTAGTCACTATATCCTATGATATCCAGGTTTTACTGGTTAAAAGAGCTCTGCTGGAAGATGGGAGATGGGGTCTTCAATAAGAAGAGGTCAGACTTGGACCTAGGTCATCCTTGGTGAGTGCTTTAACCACTTAGTTATGTAGAAGCGGAAGCGAGGAAACCAACACCTTCACCAGCACCACGTTTAGCACTTTGTAAAGCTGGTCTTGACATTTTGGGGGTTCCCTTCTCCCCAGCTGAAACTAATCAGCAAATTTAGATACAATTTTCAAACAATTTTTGAATGACCAAAATGGTATTTTTGGAAAATTTGCTATTTGTCACAACACTTTTGCCCAATTATAATTATACGATCAGTCAGTGCATTAGTGCTGGCTATAGTGGAGCCTTTATTGGGTTTAGGTCTTAGGGACGCTACATGAGGTAGTGCCAGAATTGTATTTACTGTGCGTGTCCATTTCTTTAAGAAAGAAAAGTGATAGCATGGTGACCACTCATGAGTTTTACAGTCCATACTAAATATATAGCACGTGCTAAATGTGGGTTTCCAGTTTGGGATTTTGATTAAATTGAGCATTAGCAGTTGAATGATAGCTTGGGCACTGGCCATCAAACCTTTCATTGGTCAGGGAAACTCTGCAAAGGCTGAGAAATTCTACCGATGAGGAAGGCCTGAGAAGTTATTAGAGGCTGTGTTTTTAAAAAAAAATCCCAACAATGTGGATATAAGTTTGAATATATTTTTTAAATTGGACCTTTTGGAATGTCTTCAGTCTAAGTCAGAATACCAGAAGATGTTATACCCACCAGTCCCATGCTGATGTTATCTTTTTTCACTGCTACTGAGCCAGAGTACCTTTCACTATATGGTTAGTCCTTTACTTTGGTATGCAAGTAGGAGACTGTATGACAACTATCAGCCTGGCTGGGAGTTTTTCTACTCCATTCTTCACTGTGGTATTGGAGCACCCCTGTGACTCTCTAAAGGAAATGAAATGTGTATAAAGCTCTCTTGGTGAGCAAAATTATAAGTAAATAAAATATCTGCATCCTTTGCAAGTTTGAAAACTGACATTTTTGACCTTTTCTAGAAATTGATATTTTGGTGGGTTGTTCAGCCTTTACCTTCTAGAAAATTGATGCCAGCACAAAGTGTATTATTTCACAAACAGTTATTATAATAATAGCGTATTAATGGGATGCAAATTACTGATCTAGGAATCTAACATGCCTATAACTATTTCTGTACTTTTAACGTCAACATTAAAAGCAACATCTAACTAACTGTGTTATGGCAAATTAACATTAATAACAGTTTTGACACTAATAGCAAGTTATCATTAGGGGAAAAGAAAGCCTTTCCAGTTGCCAGGTTTAAGTTGATTTAAAAAAACCCCCCAAAAAAACAACCAACCTCCACTCTCTGTCACTAGAGCTTTCCCTAGAACAATTCCAGCTGTGATTTCACTCTTTACTAGACACTTTTATGGGATGTTGCTCTGCAGTTGTCTTTATTGTATATCTGGCATCCAGGAGCAGATCCAGGGAGGTGCAGTTGCACCCCTCTTTTGATTCCTGCTCCACCCCTAATTTAAAACCAGCTGTCTGAGAGGGGCAGTGACACTTCTATTGAGACAGCGCTGAGGGCATCCATAGACTTCATGGCTCATTGTAACCTAGCTAATTCCTGCTAGTGTCTCTTCACTCCACAGGTGTTAATGATCCTCTCTCCTTTTTAGTGGCCTTCTCCCCTTTCTAATGTTCTACTAATCAAGCTATCCTTTCCTCAGCAACTTTGCTGTCTGTTAGCCATTCCTGGTAATATCTCTTTTCTATTTCACAGCCCTGCAGCATGTTACGTGGGCAAAGTGTTACTTGTGTGCACACAGCTATACTGACAAGACTCCACTTCAGTTGGCATAGTTTAGTCTCCCCACCCCAAAATGAAATAAGCTGTACCTTTAAAAGAGAAGTTTTGCTTGTATAGCTGTGTCTACGTTTGGAAATTCTTTCAGCACAAACCGTGTAAGTTTATATAATTTTTTTCTTAACTATAACAATGGTTACTATACCACATAAAACAGACAATGAGAGAGAAGGAGAATTATTTGAGTTTTAAATAATCCAAAATTCAGATTTTTATACTTTACCTCTCTGCCACTTATGGTATCACCTCCCCCTGCTGTGTGTATTTAATTTCTTCTTAATGATAATGAAAGGAGAACTATTCCTACAGGGAACTATAGGGAATAGTTCTTGTACTACTGCATAATATGTATGTTAATGTGCAGAATGTAACATACCTGGGCAGTGCATAAATGTTACCAGAGCCTTACTAAAGATAAAAGTACAGCAGCAGTTCAAAAGAGATTTTCAAACTGGGAGATCTTTGCAGTGTGGTTTTGACACATGTTGTTGCTGGCTGAGATGAGTGGAATTGGCTTTGGTTTGCTCTACTGGCTTTCAAAATGAAGGGTGCAGCCTACTGTAACCTACTGTAAGTTTGTGCAATAACAGAGAAAGTAAATAAAAGGCAGACATTATGCCTGGAATGATGTAGATACATACCCATGCTCCATCAGGTCCAAACAACTCTAAAAAGTTGCCAATGAACTCTCTGGATTTCTCTTCCCATTTCTGAATGAGGTCATGGCTCTTCTCTTCCACTTTGTTAACAAATTCTTTTGATTTTTCCTCAACATTCTTAACTTTTTCCTTCATTTTGTCTACCTGGTTCTGAAAGCGGTATTTCTTCTCCTGGGTGAAAAGTACATATGGATGGATAAGAGATAATCAAATGAATGTGGGGGGAAAAAAGAAGAGAGTATTATTGATAAAATGCACAGTATCTATATAAATATTATCCTTAAATATTTTTAACACACACATCTATTATTGTTCAGTGCTTACCACATGCTATCACTTTCCACCAAAAAAATTATTAAACAGGTGTGTGTGTAAATACACATATGCATGTGTGCACACACACACAGATACAAACTTCCCACAGGAAAGTATGGGACGCTTGCATGTTGTTTACTACAAGGTTGAGTTATTTCCCCACTTGCATAGGCACTGCATTTATAGTATGTTTAAAAACACCTTAAGCTCTCTCTCTTTCTCTCTCTCTCACTCATATAATGTGAAACATAACATAATTATATAGATTAGCTAGGGCATTGTTTAAAACTGCTGTAAATTTAGTGCTTATGCAAGTCAAGAAATAACTCAGTCTTGTGGTGGTTGACATGAAAACTTCCTACAGCTTCCTGCAAGTGCCATCCCACTATTGCCTTGCAGCCCTTGATGCTATCTCAGTCTGAAGTTTCTCTTGTGAAAAGAGAAAAGTCTTAAAGTATAGGCATTTGGGATAATAGGGGTTCCCCTAGTTATAGCATAAGTAAGTACTGAGCCACTGCCCAGGTGGCTTAGCAGAGAGGAAGAGGGAGCTGATTAGTACATAATGCTACACAGCACAGCAGAAGAGACAGATATGGGATGACATGCCTATTTCACAAGAAACTATTGTCCAGAAGGACCACTCCAACATCTTTTGCACCTTATAGCCACAAAACATCCAATTAACATCCAAAAACATCATGATGTGCCATAGGAGAAAGTCAATTTATTGCAATCATCTGGAAAAGAGAATCATGTTCCATGCCAAAGAAGGCAGCAGTCCCAATGGTCCTTGCCAATTTGACCTATGGGAAGATTCCTTCCTAATTCAGATCTGGCTGCTGATTTGGCACTATGTGAGCAAGACCCTCAAAGCCAGGATCCTTTGAGCAGGGGTGACTGGTGCCTCCTGAGTGTGTGTGTGTTGTGAGGGTGGGGGGCACAATTTGTGGACGGGCCTGGGGGTGGGCCAAAAGCCCCATATCCACTCCTATACTTCCATGCTGTGTCTTAGTGCTCCCCACTCCCCCAACATGCTGCCGGCCTGCGTGGCAGAAAAACTTTCCTCTCCTGAGCAGCGCTGAGTCGGGGCTAATCTCAGGGGGGACATGTGCCCCCCCCATGTCCCCTCTACCTGTCGCCTGTGTGGTTTATCTCTTCCATTAGGAAAACCAGCACTGCCAAGCCAATGGCCGATGCTTCAAAGGAAAATGATAAACAGAAGCCCTGAAGCATAGGATTAAAAGATACCTCCTACATATGCAAACAACCCTAAGGGAGGTTGGTCCTGCCACCTCCTGAACTTCTCAACATTGAGGTTTTAGAAGAAAATTTCTGAGTTCTTTGGTAGCTCAACCTATCACATAAAATGTTAAAGGCTCTGTAGGACTGAAGCTGTTTTTCTGAAGATGATATGAACCCTGAGGGAGCAGATGTTTCAGTCAGTTCATCACCAACTGTGAATTTTGTTTAACTGGAGCTGAATAAATGGCAGTGCTATTAATTTCTCTCGAGGAAAACTTCTTTAGCTCTCCTAGGGCTGTTCAATATGGTAAAGTACATATATGGTAAAAAAAATGGCAATGTAAATTTATGACTCAACAGAATCTGCTGCTTGTGTGTGTTCAGACTAGCTTCTTATTTTTATCTTTGCAGTTATGAAAGTGTGAAATGGTGCCTACGCTAGCTCCTGGCTCAACGATACAACTGATTAGATATCAGGCAATGATCCATAAGCCAGAAAATACAGGGTTTGGCTCTTAAATTTGAGTTTGTATTTTTAGGGCTGGCATGAAGACGATCAATTTTTTTTACAAGCCTGTAAATTGATCAAGTATGATATAAGGGTCCATTTCAGATGTGATCATACAAATGCATATACCAATATATACATTCATAACACTGAATGCTGCAAACCACAAATGGTTGATGTTCTCAGTGTGCATCTTAGATGGTTGTTTCTATGTGTAAGTATTCAAGTCAGATACTGTGGTAAATGCACAAAACAGACATTTAAATACATATTGGTATGTGCACCTGAGCTTTTAAGAAATGGCACTGAAATATAATAAAAATGATTTTTTGTTGCCGTTATAGAAGTACTTTTCAAAGTATAAGTGCATTTTAAAATTTACAAGCTAAAAATATGTCCAAACTGCTGCTCAGTAGGGGGGTCTTTTAATGCCAACCACAACGTAGAATTAGTATTTTCATTTTACTTTTAATTCAGTCAGATACTTCTGTAAATTCTCCTGTATACCTAACTTCCTTTGAAAGGCATTGGGCCTAATTTAAACCAATCATTCCCCATTTTCAGAAGCTGTTTAAAAGGTCTTTCTGAAAAAAACTACATTTGGCTGGAATAAGTTTGCCAGTTATTGGAACAAGGAGCTGAGAGCTTAAAATGAGATCCTTATCTTACTCTCTGTTTCCCTATTTGTTTCCTTTGTGTGTTTGGGAACTATCTGTGTTCTGGCACTTTTCTCTGTTCTTTATGTGGATCTACAATGCAGCAAAAGGAACAAGAAAGGAAAAGAAATGAAGAGGAAAAACATAACTGGCAGCAGACTTGAGGCAGGTGTAACACCCAATAATATCTTTGATTAGTTTTTAAAAAATAAGTTAGATATCAAATTGAGAGTACTATTACGGTAAAGGGCTAATCAAATAAACATAACCACCCTTATCAATATACATCAATATACATTGCCTTTCTTTCAAAGAAAAAAAGAAGTCCTCACTAAGTAGCCATATTCAGATAAAAATTCCCAGTTATTCAGATAAGTGGGAAGTTGTGTTCTGGAATGATATTCCAAGAACTTAGTCAGGGGACGAAGAACATGAATCTATTCAAGATGGGATTTGAGCAGTTCAGGGAAAGAATAGTGTGACAGTATAGAGCTGTGGTGCTCAACCCATCCAGCCTGATGAGTGACATGGGGTCACCAAACCTTGTCCCTTCCTGACCCCAGATCTGGCAATCCATTTAACCATGAGCAAAAGAGAAAGGCATCTTAGCCAGATGCCTGAAAGGATTTAAAATACTGATGGGAACACCAATGTATCCTTGTCAAATCTCCCACCCTGTAATTATGGCCTATTGCCAGTGCTTTAGACAAAAAAGCAAAAGACAGACATGCATACGTGCACACCACACACAGAAACCAATAAAGTCTTCATAAGGGGAAAAAAAATTCCTTCCTGGCCCCAATAGACAACCAGCAAAGGCCCTGAAGCCTGGCATTATCAAGCCCCTTCCATAGAGAGAGTTACTGCCCATCCCTACCATAGGGATTGCAAATAAGTACTTGAACCCATGTATCACATGCACCAATTACTGATCCAAGCACCCTATGTACCAGTGGTGCTCAGCCTATGGCCCACAGGCTGGATCATGCCCATGGAGCTGGGTCATCCAACATGTGCTATTCCCCATAGGTCCAGAAATTTAGTGGGTTGCTGTTTGCCTTTTGTAATTTGCCTTTCAGGCACCTGACTAAGCTGTCTTTCTCTTCTGCTCATAATAATTAAACTGATTGCCACATCTGGGGTCAGGAAGGATTTTTTCCCCCCCTAGCTTCACAAGGACTGTGGCTTGTTTGTTTTGTTGGGGATTTTTTTTACCTTTCTCTGCAGTGAAAGGCATGGTCCTCTTCCTAAGATCTTCTGAGCACAAATTAACTGCAAAATACTTGGAGTGTCAGAGCACTGGCAGTGTGCTAGTCTCGTCTGCTTTTACTTGTGGCATATTTTGTGGGGTGTTATTTTGTTTTTAATGGATGCCTATACATGTGCAGGTCAGGCACGTCCAAAGGCACTGTAACTTTTGTGCTTTACTTAAAGTGCTTTAGGTACAGTGCCTTAAAACTCAGTAGATGTTCCATGGCTTGGTGTGAGTTTCATGCCTTGCTGTAGTTCTGTAGAGTAGGAGGCACTGGACATTGGTAGAAGATCTAATTACCACTTTAAAAAGCTCCAGTTGAATACATGTGCAAAAAAGAGAAACCAGGTAGCCTGAGGCTCAGTACTGCAGTTCGACTTGCATTTAAAATACATACAACAAGGGTTAATTAAGGCAACTACCACCCTTTTAACAACGTTCTCAAGTTGCTGATGTGTATTACGTGATGGCTTTAGAACACTTTAAATGGCAAAAACTGTCACGTGTACAGGCACCCATAATGTGCTTTGAGTTGGATATGCAAAGTTGGATTAGATCAGGGATGTTCAACTCATGAGGCTTCGTGGACTAGATGAGTGATGTTGGGCCAATCTGTGTGTGGATAAGAAACACAGGCTGGCCTGTGGGCCAGACTGGGCCTGCAAACTGGCCCCATATCCTGGATCCAACGTATGGGTGTTGCATGCAGCAGGCACCCCGGACCAGCCCTGCGTGCCACATTCAGGATGCCCCAGCCCTGGTCCCAGGCCCCGCATGCACAGTGCACGCCAGATTGGCCCTACATGCTGAAGAGCCCTTTCTGGACCTGTGTTCCTGAGCTTTTCTTTAATACAGAACAGTGCAGAGGAACATTTCAGTAATGTGACTTTCACAGGGTTCTGCTTTAAGATTTGACAGAGAAAATGGAGGACAGTAGAAAGAAGATGTCTCCTTCACATCTTTACTATTCCTTGGTTGGCATGGACAGTTCTGTCTTTAGAAATGGTTTAATTTGAAAGCAACTTTTTCTAATGTAAGCCTCAGCCACTCTAAGGTTTTATATTGGCACCTTGGCTTACATTTTGTGTTGCATAAAAGTGACTTGATGATGCTCTCTGATTTCTGTGACGTCTTGCTACAGAGTTCTTGTTTCATGGGACTGCCTTAAGCTTTTAGCTTCCATCTTTTTTTTACTTGCTTTGTAGAGGAATGAATTTGATAGCAGAGCTTGTGCTTTCTGCATATTTATTTCTGCTCTCTATTATCTGTCCCTGTGATAACAGCAATAATGAAACACAGACTCTTGGCTACTGCTTGAAAGACTATGCCTGGAAACTTTTTTTTAATCTGCTAGGCTCATTAGCAGCAGCTTAATAAGAAGCATGCTGTAGTTCACAAATACAATAGGAAATTGCGGGTGCTGGCTTCCTCTAAATAGCTATACTTTCAAAGAACACTGACAAATGGTAGGTGAAAATGATAACTGCCAAGACTATTAAGTAACAAAAGCAAACTCACAAGTCTACCAGTATCTCCTAATACATTATCCTTCAGCTTGTTTTAACCAGTTCTTGCTCTATTTTATCTCCCATTTCAAATTAGGCTTTTTCATCTCCAGTCCAACTTGGGCTTCTAAGGTCCATCAGAAGAGAGTGCAGCATACTTACATTTATAAAACTAACATTCAGCTCTTTGGCGGTGTATCCTCTTTGGAGGTTGCGTCGGGCATAGACGTCATAATCTCGTACAATTCTAGTAATAATGTCTGAGGTTGAGATACCTTCAGTTCTTTGTGTTGGTACAAACATTCCTGATTAAAGTGGGACAAAAACACCAGAAAAAAATAACTGTTAGATGTCACCGCAGCTAGGAAAAAATGAATACTTAAGCACAGATATCTAAGTCTTGTGGGGGAGTGTCAATTTGGAGCTGAGAGACTGGGTGAAAGTTTCAGGGTTGTAGGTTGTAGCCATGTTGGTCTAAGGACATAGGCAGACAAGGTTCTTTGCATCGATCTGATATCTTTTATTAGACCAACTGAAATAGTTGGAAAACAATTATTAAGCAAGCTTTCGGGTTCAAAAACCCTTCATCGGGCTAAGGAAGTTACAGCAGTTGGTGTGTGCTCTTCCTGGATGGAATGAAAAGTAAAGAAGCCAGAGGCTGGGCTGGTCTGCATGCAAGACAGGCAGTCAGTGAAAATGTGGATTGAGGAGTCAATGGGTGAGAGACAGTGGGGAGTGGGAGAGAGAGAGAAAGGGGATGAAAAGTGGAGAGATACCTAGGGAGTCAGCTGTCAGGCAGGTTATAACGTGTCATAAATCCAATGTCTATATTCACTCCATGATTTTTAGTGTC